TATATAATTAGAAGAAGAATATCACATGCAGCTGGGTGCAGTGGCTCAGGGCTATAATCCTAGCACTTTGGGAGGTCAAGGTGGGTGGATCACGAGGTCAGGAGTTCAAGACCAGCCTGACCAACATGGTGAAACCCTGTCTCTACTAAAAATACAAAAATTAGCCAGGCGTGGTGGCACACACCTGTTATCCCAGCTACTCAGGAGGCTGAGGCAGGAGAATCACTTGAACCTGGGAGGTGCACCACTGCACTCCAGCCTGGGTAACAGAGCAAGACTCTGTCTCAAAAAACATGTATATATCATATGCAACTGAACTGACCACTACAGAGAGAAACATAATGGAGCATCAGGCACTAGCAGCTTATAACAGCCACACTGCCTTAGTGCGTAGAGGCAGGCACAGTGAAAGAGAGATGAAAACTAACATTTCTGAAAACATTTCACACAGGAAAGCTCCCAGGGCTACAGAGCGGAGGCTGGGAGAGAACAGGAGACATGACCAGACAGATCCACCCTTAGGAATGGTTTTCACTGCCTTGGGGGTAGAACGTATACATGGAAAATGTATTTTTTCAATGTACAAACAATTAAGCATTCTGGTAAGCACCCTGTATCTAGAAGCCTGTTTTACTACCTGCCCCTGGATTTGAACTTCTACCATTGGTGTTTTTGTTTTTTGTGTTTTGAGATGGAATCTCACTCTGTCCCCAGGCTGGAATGCAGTAGCACGGTCTCTGCTCTGTGTGCAACCTCTGCCTCCCGGGTTCAAGGGATTCTCCTGCCTCAGCCTCCTGAGTAGCTGGGACTACAGGCACACACCACCACGCCCAGCTAATTTTTGTATTTTTGGTAGAGATGGGGTTTTACCATGTTCGTCTGGATGATCTTGATCTCTTGACCTCATGATCCGCTGTCCTCAGCCTCCCCAAGTGCTGGGATTACAGCCATGAGCCACCATGCCCAGCCACTTCTACCATTGTTCATTCATTCTATGGGTTAAGTTTTAGGAGTCTAGCAAGCCCGTGCTAAAGTGCATATTCTCGAGGAGTTATGATATCTTAAGCCAGCAATAAACAGGTATCATTTTGTGTGCAATTGCCAGTCTACTGGGGTGACTTTTCTACAGCCCTGAGGTGTTCCCCTGGATCTTGGAGAAGGAGCTCATGATTGATTAGTTATGTCTGCAGTGGTCATGGTACTGAAGTGCCACGCATTTGCCACCTTGTACTAAAAAATTATAATGGGTATGACAATTTTGAAATGCCTTCTGATTTATGTTCTCTTATCAAGAAACCATTTATTTTCCCTATACCCATCTGCATTAAGGCTGAGTGAAGAAGACAGAGTATGGATGATAAGTAAGCCCCTCCTGATAAGAGAGGATGCAGAAGTCCTTCCAGAGAAGAAATGACTCTGGGAGAGGGAAAAGGGCACAAATATCAGAACAACAGTGCGGACTCTCTCCTGGACCAGGTACGTTTGGAACAGGCCCCAGGGCAGAAATTCCACTTTCTTGTTTTCTAAGGATGGAGGATCAGGAAAAAGATCAGATGAATCATAGAAAATAAAAAAAGTTGTCTTTTCACACCTGGGTAATGGTATGTTAAAACTGTGAGTCTGCTACACAATAATCAGTTACTTACTTGGGGCTAAATTGATCATGTAAACCTACAGAAAGGTGGTTTTAGATGAGAGGATGCAGAAAGAAGGACTATCAGTTATTGAGCACCTATTATGCACCAGGCATGTAGTACGTACTTTACAGAAATCGTTTAATTCTTGCAACAATTTTTTGAGAGGGAGGTTGTCCCTATTTCAGATATAAGAAAACTGAGGCTCAGAAAAGTTAATTTCATGTTCACGTTCACAAAGCTAGTTAAAAGTGGCACACAGGGCTGGGTGTGGTGGCTCACGCCTGTAATCCTAGCACTTTGGGAAGCCAAGGTGGGCAGATCACTTGAAGTCAGGAGTTTGAAACCAGTCTGGCACACATGGCAAAACCCTGTCTTTACTAAAATACAAGAAATAGCCGGGTATGGTGGTAGATGCCTGTAATCCCAGCTACTTGGGAGGCTGAAGCAGGAGAATTGCTTGAACCTGGGAGGCTGAGGTTGCAGTCAGCTGAGATTGCACCATCGCACTCCAGCCTGGGCAACAAGAACAAAATGCCATCTCAAAAAAAAAGGGTGGCGACCACTAGGATTTGAAGTAGGATCTGGCCAACCTGAGATGGATAATGTTTCTCTTCAGCTACAGGAAGCGTGGGCCAGGGGATGTCAGCTGCCCCATTTCCAGGGAAGGACTGACAAGCGGAGATATCTGGCATAAAATGTGGTGTTTTTACAGAAATGTTTAAAGAGATGTAAAGGATTAAAATAAGTCATGAAAATAAGAAACTTTAGCTCTAAAGAAGAATAAAAAGTATCAAAGACATCGAATAAACCAGCAAGCATGTCAGAACAACAGTTGGGTAGGTAGAATGACTTTGTACAAATTTAATCCTATGTTGCATATATAAACTAACTTAATGGAGCTTCCAGTTCTAGTTAAACTATTAACTTAAAAATCTTGTTTTGTTTAATTTTTATTTTTCTTTCTTTATTTTTTTTTTTTGAGACGG